CAACAGTGATTAGCAGGCTGGTGGCAAGTAGCAAATTCTCAAGAAATGATGGGGTGGTGGTTTTATTACTGTTATATAGAATAAATGATTTGTTTTGCACTGGAGTAGTGTTCTAGTTCAACATTCTTTAAGGATATTTTTTAAAAAATCACTAATTTTATATGGAAAGGAAAGAGACCTTGGATAAGCAAAGCACAACTGAAGAAGAACAAAGTAGGAGGTCTCACACTCCCAGATCTCAAAACCTACTACACAGCCACAATAGTCAAAACAGCCTGGTACTGGTACAACAACAGACACATAGACCAGTGGAATAGAATTGAGGATCTAGAAATAGATCCATTGACCTATGGTCAGCTGATCTTTGGCAAAGGGCTGAAATCCATTAAATGGAGAAGAGATAGTCTGTTTAACAAATGGTGCTGGCAAAACTGGATATCCATTTGCAGAAAAATGAAACAAGATCTATACCTCACACTGTACACAAAAACTAATTCCAGATGGATCAAAGACTTAAATGTGAAACCTAAAGCTATAAAGTTCCTCAGTGGAAAAATAGGGGCTCTAATTTATGGCATAAATAGACTATCAAGCATAACCCAAAATGCACAAACAGCAGAAGATAAACTAGATGAATGGGACCGTCTAAAAATTAAATTTTTATGTGCTTCCAAAGACTTCTCCAAAAGAGTCAAAAGAGAACCTACAGACTGGGAAAAAATATTTGGCAGTGACATATCTGACAAGGGACTTATCTCTAGGATTTATAGAAAACTTCAACACTTCGATAACAAAAAGACAAATAATCCAATTAAAAAATGGGCAGAAGACATGAAGAGACACTTCACCAAAGAAGATATTCAGGTGGCCAAAAAACAAATGAAGAAATGTTTGCAATCATTAGCCATTAAAGAAATGCAAACCAAAACAAAAATGAGATACCATCTCACTCTGGCACTAATAGCAAAGTTCAACAAGACAGAAAGTAACAAAATCTGGTGAGGATGTGGAGATATTGGGACTCTCATACACTGCTGGTGGTACCGTAAAATGATACAATCACTGTGGAAATCAGTATGGTGATTCCTTAAAAAGTTGGAAATAGAAATACCATTTGACCCAGCAATCCCATTACTAGGTAAATATCCTAAAGAAGTGAGAGCCAGGACATGAACAGATATGTGCACACCCATGTTCACTGCAGCACTATTCACAACAGCAAAAAGATGGAAACAACCTAGGTGCCCATCAACAGAAGAATGGATAACCAAACTATGGTACATACACACAGTGGAATACTGTGCAGCACAAAAGAATAACGTAGAATCTGCAAAACACCGCATAACATGGATGAACTTGGAGGACATTACGCTGAGTGAAATAAGTCAATCACAGAAGGACAAATATTGTATTAGTTCACTATTGTAAAAAGTCAAGGAAAGGTTTATATATGAAAGGAAACTTTCTTTGTTGTTACCAGGGGTAGGAGGGGAAGGGAGAGGAGGAAACACTGAGAGATAGGTAGAGACAAGTATCCTGGGTGACGGGAAGGGCAAGGTACCAAAAGTGAGTGATCAACACGGTGGCACTGAGGAAGAGGAAGACACAGAGAGGTATACAAGAGGTACAGAAAAAAGAGATAAACCCTTTTACATATACAATACTGCACTGTCAGTGATAGCAAACAAATCTATGGGTTAAATAGATGGGTAAATGGGCTGATGATTAGGTATATCTAGGCAAAAGGGAATATACCCATGACCATATATAAGGTTGGCAGACAGTATTTCTACACACGTATTTGTATGTGCTGTAAGAATGTCCAAATATATAATAGAGCTAACAAGGAGTAAAGTTATGATAAATTCTTAGCCACAGCAAACCTCCCTGAGTGAGTGAGTAAGTTGGACCTGTGGGCTCAGAACCATGGTCACAGGGGACATCAAGCTCAATTGGCATAACACACTACACAAAAACATCGTTCTACATCCTACTTTGGTGAGTAGTGACTGGGGGCTTACAAGTGGCCATCTAGATGCAACAGTGGGTCTCTCCTCATCCAGAGCAAAGGAGAATAAAAAAAAAAAAAAATCAAAGACACATGGAAACAATTTGTCCAAGGGACTAGAGGGCCATGCAAACCTCAGCCTATGTGACCATGAGACCAGAAGAACTAGGTGGTACCTGACTACCATTGTCCATTGTCAACCACTCAGATACGGATCAGTGCAGGAAGTCTTGGATAGAGTGGGAGAACAATGTGGAACAAAACTCAAAATCATAAAAAAAAAGACTAGGTTTACTGGTCTGACAGAGCCTAGTGAGACCCCTGAGACTATGGTCAGCTGGAATTGAACTCACTGCTGTGGCTTCCAGGCAAACAATAGACAGGCATATGGTGTGAACATTTACATAAGGTAGATACACTCCTTAGAACAACCAATCATGAGGGAAGAGAAGGGCAGTATTTGAACAGGGAGACAGCTGGGGTGGGGGGATAGGAATGTATAGAGAGAAAAACACAGGGAAGAGGTGACTACAGGGAGGAAGTGTGAAGAGAGCTGTTACATTGTGGGGAATTGCATTCAATGTCATGAAATAAAATGTGTATGAACTGCTGTATGGAAAATGAATTTGCTCTATGAACTTTTGCCCAAATCACAATAAATAAATAAATAAATAAATAAATAAAAAGACTTGGACCATCTAAAAAGCTTTATAATTACTCAAACTATTAATAGAGTGTAGCAATACTCACACCCACACAACTGATCAGTGCAATCATACCAGGCCTGGGCAAGAATGCTAGAGAAGTGAGATGAAAAAGCCAATGGCCCTGTGCGCACAGCTTAGGGCAGGAAGCCTTGATAGTGCTCACTCAGACAGGGGCCTCACCAAGCAGGGTGTGTGTTGAGAGGTTTGAGATGACATCAGTCCCACCCCAAATGCCATAGGGGCTCTCGGGAGGAAGTGACCACACAGAAGTTTAGGAAAGATTTCATGCAGGAAGGCTGTTGCTGAGCTGGGCCTGGAAATAAAGATTTCTACAGATTGTGAGGGGGTTGTGATAGTCCAGGGAGAGTGAAGGGGTGGGAAAATCTGTAGCATGTTTAGGAAACAGGCTGGAGCTCGAAATGTACCTCAGGGAGCAATGAGTAAAGGGGCTGGAAAGATAGATTGCGTCATGGCAGTGGGAGGGGGCCTTGAATGCTGAAGTCATTTATTTAGTGGGGAGGTGGCAATGGGGAGGGATGAGAGAAGACACAGGCAGACTAAGCATACAGAAAGACCAGTTGAGCAGAAACACAAACAGGCCCGAGATGTCTAGAGTGAACAAAAAAGAGAAATAGGAGGGGAGAGGGTGTGGTGACAGTCTCTAATATGCTTCCCCACTCTGGCCAATGAGTCCCACCTCCTAGCATTCATGCTTTCCTACAATCTTGAGTTTGGGTTGGACCTAGTGATTGGATTCTAATGAATAGAATGTAGCAAAAGTGATAGGAAGTCACTTCCAAGATTGTTAAAAAAGGCTGTGAGGGCCCCACCACCCGTGCCGGCCACCTCAGCCTTTGCTCTAGGGGAAGCTTGCTGCCACGTTGTGAGTAGTCTTACAGAGAAACTGATGACAGAAAATTTGTCTCTGGCCAATAGCTAGAGAAGACTTGAAGCCTGCCAATGGCTACATGAGTGAAATTGGAAGTGGATCTTCTGAGGCTGACAACAGTAACTTAAAGAGTTTGGAAGCAGATCTGCCCCTCACTGAGCCTAAACCAGGAGTACCACACTAAGTACACCTGGATTCCTGATCCACAGAAACTGTGAGATAATACATACTTGTTTTTAACCCACTAAATTTTGGGTAAATTGTTACGCAGCAATAGATAACTAACATAAGGAAGACAGGGACAGGGAAGCTCATGGACCATGCTCATGGATGCCCAGTTCCTGGTTCCAGTCCCTTGTGATGCCTGGTTCTCCTTCCAGCCCTTGAGTTCCAAGATTCCTTCCAATACAGTATTCCTGCCAATACATTCCCTTTTTGTGCCTAAGGTAATTAGAAGAGGTTTCTGTTATTTAATAATAATCTCTGAGTATGACAACCAGTTCTAAAACAAGGGAACCAGACAATACTGACTGGTGTACTGAACTTACTAACAGATACCCAAACCATATATACACACACACACACAGTTAAAAGAAATCACTTGGCTCTTCACTCATTATTTACGAGGTACAAAAAGACAAGGAGGCCACATGTTCTGACCTCCTCTAACCCCACAAGAAGAAGACAGAATCACCATCAGCAACCCAAGGCCTATTCCTGCCAGGCCAGACATGCTGCCTTCCTCCAGCCCTTTCACCAACTGTTCCTCCCAAAGCACCCACCACCTCTCTCCTGGGTTCGATAATTCACTGCAGTGGCCACACAGAACTCAGATTATGGGGTTTATTATGGAAGCACCAGG